CAAACCAGCAGTATTTGGCAGGAGGAAGAAGAGCTAATGGGTCGATCAGGAAGGTTGAAAAACAATTACAGAAATAAAAGAAGAAAAAAAAACGCTCCATCCACCCAGGAAGCCAAAGGAGCAGATGCCAGGTAGGGAGGCGGAATCGGCCGGGGCCTGGGAGCGAACCACGGGGAAATGGCATTGCCGCACCGTGGGGGAAGCACAGCCTTCAGTAAGAGGCGTGGAGCAGCCCGTCGGCTGGGGAAAAGCAGCTGGATACCAGGCCCTATATAAGATGGATTAGAAAACTTTAAATATAAATGTAAAAGTGCAAAAAAAATAGACAAATATTTTTATGACTCAGGGTGAGATAGTGCGATCCATATATATGTAGTATCTCTGTTAAGAGACCACCAAAAAAAGTTAAGAAACAGGGTATAGATCGGGAGGAAATAAAAGCAAAACTCAAATGACAGAACAAAAGTTTAATGTCCTTGATGTAAGAAGGGTTTCTATAAACTAATCAGAAAAGTAGCACCCTAAAAGGCAGCAAAACTTTTGTTTTCTGATGAAAAGAAATAAAGCAATAATGTTTGCTAATTTAAAAACTGAATCCTAAAGCAATAATAAGATGGTAATGTTTGCCTATTAAACTAGAAAAAAATTAAATCCATTTGCACATCCATGCCTATGAGAAGTAGACACTTAGGTAATCGTCATCACTGGGAGCTTAGGTTAATACCCCATTTTTAGAGAACTTTTGTCAGAATCTATTGAATTTTTCAGTGCACATGCACTTTGATCTAGCAATCTCACGTCTTAAGAATATATCCTACAGAAATCATAACATGAGTATATAAGATTTATCTAAAAGGGATGTATTCCTTCTATGTTAATAATAGAAAAACAAAGAATAGTGTCAATAACCATCAGTGAGCAAACGGTTAAATAAACTTGTGTGTATTCATAAAATGAAATGCTAGGCAGCCATTTTTTCAATGAGGGAAATCGGGGTGTTAATGTGGAAGGAATTCTATGGTATCTTGTAAGTGAGGAGACATAAGCTGCCGCCCGATGTCAGCCCGATTCTGGTATCGCCGTACAGTGTAACCTGCGTGTGTGAATGTGTGTGAGTAGATGTGTCTCTCTAGGCTTATGACAAAGTTGGGAAGGGTGCACACCACCGGGTAGGGGTGGAGATGGTGGGGCAGGAGACAGGTGCCCTTTGGAAGACTGGTAGTGGAGACAGAGGGACTGGGGAGGTGTGAGCCGTGGGTGCGGCCACTGCAGCTATGTTCCATCAAGAAGAAGAGGGAAGTGGGGATTCAGTGTCAGGGGCAGGCATCAGTTCAAAAGCGTTTTGTTTTGTTTTGCTCTGTGGGGTAGGAGAAATTTGAGTGTGTTTGTATGCAAACAGGAGAGGGGGAAAATACAAAAAGCTGCGGTTCACGGGAAGGGTGTGGGAGCCGCAGCCTTGGGAAGGGCTGCCGGGAGGCTGAGCGATGACCCTTCTTTCCCTGGGACTGGAGGGGGTGCGTGGTGTCGGCAGGAGGTTCTCAGTGACTCCCCGTGCGAGGGCTCTATGAGGATAGGCAGGGTCAGATACAGGGGAGGGGATGCAAATGGATGGTATGGGGAATGGCAGCAAGTGGAAAATACTGGAAACAACTACTGTGGAGTGGGTTTAGGAACAAAAATGTATAAGGAAAACAACTAGGAAAGACATAGGAAGAAAAAGACAAGGACGGGAAAACATAAGGAATTCACTGGGGGGAAAGCCAGAAGGCCAAGGTTCAGGGCCATGAGAACAAGTGTTATTGATCTGCAAGGAAGCGTGCTGGGCACTCGCAAGGGTGCCCGGCAGCCCAGGGAAGGACCAGGAATCCAGCGGGTCGGTTCGAATTAGAGGATTCCAGACCTTAGAGGCACCTAGAGGGCTGGTGGAGAGTGGCTAGCTGGCCCACACTTTCAAGAAGCCCAAGGGAGGCTGACAGAGCGAGAGAGGGAGGGGACTGAAGGTCACAGTAAGAAAAGTGGCAGGTGCCTCAGGAGTGCGGACAGGAAGGCGGTGGTGAAAGAACAGGCTGGGGTCACAGGGGCTTGTTGGCGTGCCCGGCAGAGGAGCTCCAAGGGCGAAGGCACAGAAGCGTGCCGGGCGTTTGTAGTGCCTGCGCATCTCTCTCCATAGACCTTAAGTCCCATGAGTGAAGGAATTACCCAGGTCTTGTTCATTGTTACATCCAGGGCTTGGCCCAGGGCCTGGCGCATAGTGGACACACAGCAGATATTTGAAGGAACAAGTGGGTAGGGCTGGGTGGGGGTGGAGGCGCCCAAGTGGCTCTAAGGTCAGGGTGCTGGACAGGTCACCAATTTCACTGTGAACGTCAGGGAAGGAAGTCGCAAGAGACCTGGCCAGAGAGAAGCACAGGGTCCTACACTGACTTGCAAGGGCTGTGGGGCAGTGCCGGGCATTAGCTGACACGGTCGGCTGAGACGGAGGGAGCCGTGAAGGCAACAACCCTGATCCAGCTGCATCCGGGTCTGCAGGCCTGGGGGCTCCCAGACCTGTGCAGTTGGAGCTACCGCGGTACCCCTGGGAAACTATCTTGAACACATTTGTCTCAGGTGCTTAGTCCGAACGAGGTTCAGGACCCACGGGTGTGGGTTAGAAGTGCAGCCCTTTGGTTTGGCCAGCGTTGGGAGACAAATGGAAACAAGGAGTTTGCCGGCAAATCTGGAGCATTAGGAAAGCTGGAGCCTCAGCGCCTCTTACAGGAAAGTTTGGAGGAAGTGGCTTCAAGAGGAAACCAGTTTCAGTAAAGTTAAGGAAGTAGATGATGGAAAATGGCAGCACTGTTTTTAACAACTTCTAAAATGCCCGCATGGATTCCTTACATGATTATCGGGATTCAATTTGCCTTTTTATTGAAGGGCCAGTTTAGGGCTTATTACTAATTTCTATTCCATAATGGACCTGGCATAGAGAACTGCTGTGTGTGTGTGTGTATGTGTGTGTGCGTGTGCACGTGTATGCATGCACACGCACAGAGAGATTTGGTAAAATCTATATATGTGCATTATGTATGTGGTGTGTATGTTGGTTCCAAGTCTGCCACAGCCTGCTTGTGAGGCGTTTTCCTGGAGATGGTTTTCTGCAGGCATCTTCACGGTGCCCTTTCACTTTTGGACATGGTTCTAAATGCTGTTATTTCAACATCTGAACCACATCCACCCAAAGCTTGGACATCTTTTTGCAACCGCGGCATAAAGGGACTTTGTGCTTTTGGGGGCGCTCTGAGGGGTGCCCTTGTCCGGGAGCAGATGGGGGGTGCACACCAGCCCACGGGCATCAGGTGTCTTCAGGGACATCCGAGGAGGAAGCTGGTCCTCAGGAGGTAACAGGGTGGGGGTCTTGCCGACAGGAAGAAGTCTGAGAGTCAGCTGAGGGGGGCTGGGGGGACTGCGTGAAGAGCAGAGGGCGGGTGAGCTGCTTGGAGGGGATCGGGTGCTGGGGCAGGGGGTTGAGGGGAGGCGGGGCACTGGGTGGCGGCTGGGAGGGACTGGATTCGGTGGGTAGAAGGTGTGGGGCAAACGCTGCCCTGCTTTCCCACACGGGTGCCCGTGGGAGGGCGCTCCACATCCCCCCTGAGCCTCAGCTGGGGGCCCTGCCACCTCATCAGCTGCAGCCAGTCCCTGAAACGGGTTCCTCTTCCCCACGTTTACTTGCACCACCCACAGTTACCCTGTATTAGAGGCTGCAAACGGGCACTAAATAATTTTAAATAAAACCGTGTCCCTTCCAATAATTTTGAGCCCTGCAGACTGTTATCCGCCATTCCTGAACCGTCAGATTTACAGATGTCTCAGTATTTCTCTCCAAAGTCAAAACAAATGGTCTTTATACTTTCCTGGCAGGTTTCAAAAAACGTCCATACTTGCAGGACCGCCTGGACTGCCTCTGTGTGGACCTGGTTGCCTCCCTCTTCTGCCCTCCCCACCCCCATGGTTATGTCCAAGGACTTGGTGACAACCTCCTAGGACAGAACTGCTGCCTTCAAAAGCTCTGGATAGAATATGGCTCCAGGTCACACTAGGTGTAAAGCTTTATGTCCTTGACCGGCGTGTGAGGTTGCAAGACGTTTCTGAGTTGGGGCACTTTGCAACTATGTCTACTATGTCATGTCTTTCTGGTCTGTCTGGGGTGAAGACACCGTGTTCGCCCAAAGGGAAAGCTATTTACAGATTTTCTGTCTGGCAGAAGCCACTGTTGGCTTTTGATTGCTTATCACTTGAGTAACATCCAATATTCTCTTTCCTACCCTTTTACTCCTTTTATCCAAAGAGTAATGACTATAGAAATGTTGACTGAACTTGCCCGGGGTTGCCCAGATTCTGACAGATTTGATGAGCCTTAATTAAAAATACTGGAGAAAATGTCTTTGTTTACCAGGAATAATAGGATTTCTACATTGTTTGTCATCTAGTGTCTAAGCTAATACGTGTTCTATTGTTGCTAACATTTATTTAATCACTGAACATGAAAGACAAAGAGGAGTTGAGTGTCTTAATATTGGGGAAGGACGCTGAATGTGAGACCTGTTTTCTAGAAATCCGCCCGGGCTGAATTGTGTGGTAGGGTGGCCCAATCTGACTTTTTCCAGTGCTGGGAGGGGAGGGGAGGGTTGCAGAACCGAGTGCCTGTGCCCTTCTGTGTATCTCGCGAAGGCCCCACGAGGTAGGCGGGAATGACCCCATTCTGGGGACAAGGGCTGAGGCTGAGGGCTTCCCCGAGGTCCCTAACGAGACAGCTGTGGAATAACAACTCCGATCTCCCTCCTCTCAGACCCTTGGACTTCTTACTGCCCCACAGTGTCTCCATGAAAACGGAAAGATGCTTTGCCTTCACATACCCTTAGTGTTACTAGATTTTCACTGTATTACTCTGCATCTTGAAGTTACTCACTGTGTATTTTTCCCATTTAAAGTAAATCTAACTATTCTGCTTTCTCTTGTTCTAGGTCTTCTACCCTAGCAAGGATGGTACAAAGATTCCCATGTTCGTTGTACACAAGAAGGGCATCAAATTGGATGGCTCTCACCCTGCTTTCTTATACGGCTACGGTGGCTTCAACATATCTATCACGCCCAACTACAGGTAAGTGTGGAACACGTCAGCATGTATGTGATCCTCTCCGTACGGTGGAAAGAAACGAGAATGTCGTCTACTATGTCATGTATTTCTGGTCCGTTTGACTATTTCTGGCTTGATGTTTTTGTGGAGGGGCAGGATTCTCTGTTAACTATATGCTTTTTAGATCAGGAATTTCAGGATCAGTACAAGCTTATCTCATATCCTGTGTGGAATAGGTTGTTTGAAAACTGTGCTGGGCCTATAGCTGCCAGGCTACAGAAGGTCCACATCAACTGAGGTCTTGAAGAAAGTCAGTGGTCACCTTGAGTGTTTATCGTTTGCAGCCAGCCTATAGCCCTCAGTATTCCCTTCAGAGGGAACGATCTTTCAGCTAATGATTATGTTTTTCAATGGAACAGTATCTTAGACTGTCCTAACATTCACCCATAAATATATTTTGTATATATGCTATTATTTCCCAGTAACTTAAGGGAGAAAAATACGCCATTTACCCATTTGCTATTGTTTATGACTATCTTATGTCAGTTATTTGCAAACTTGATTTTAATACCCTCTTCATACCATAAAATGGAATTTGCCTGATGCATTATTAATAAAAACAAGCTCACATGAAATTTGATCCTATTCAGGAAGAAACTCATGGACTGGTGACTACCAGGACATAAATTCAAAGTAGATTCCACACACTGTCCCAAATTTGAATACAAGAAAAAAAACTTAGTTTGTTTTCAGCCCTGTTATCAATAGAGCAGTCTGCTAATTATTTAGGATTTGATGATGTATGAAACTTGGTCCCTTCCTTCACGTAGTTTATAGCCAAGTTGTGAACTGCCTTGAACAACTGGCTAAAGAGTTTCATTTTATCCTTTTGTTAGTGAGAGGCCGATGCAAAATCATGTAGAACAATATTTTCAGAAGGTTTGTGAGGTTTCATCCAGCGAGAAGAGGGTGGTTACGGCCGCTTTCCATTCATTGTACAGTGACTGCACCATCTCTTGCTAGAAAGCTTTTCAGACAGACGTGCCATCTTGTTAGGTGTCTGAGTGTGGGAAAGCCATATGCCATATTTATGCTCCGTGATTATGAATCTAAGAACGCAAGCCTACAGCTGTTAGTTCATTAGATTGACCTCATCCTTTAAAATTACCACTCAACGTGATGTGATGAGACATAAGCTTCTGTGGCCAGGCATGCTGATGCCTGAGTGTGGGGCCGGTGAGCACACGCTTCATTCTCTGGGAGGTCAGCCCGAGCCCCAGCCCTTCGTCCCTGCACCAGGGCTTGGGTCAGGACAACAGAGTCAGGATTCTGGAGCAGATCTGCCGCAGCTGAAACGGCTGTGCTCAGCCATGTGTGCGGCAAGTGGTATGAAGCCTCCTCTGTCGGGAACTGAGACAAGTCAGGAAGGCTCCCTGCACCGTTTCTACCCCAGAACCCAGTGGTTATGCTGGTAGCATCAGTACCATCGGGTGCCTGAAAAATGCCAGAGGGAAGACTAAGTGGTTGAAAATGCAGCTGGCCGGTTGGTAGGGTTGTTTCTGCTCACCTACCCCAACGCCCCCTTCCTCTTTGTCCTGAAGAGCCAGGAAATTAGCACTCACGCCTTCTAAAGCCCCAGGATGCAGCCCACAGCTTTCCCGGTTGCTAAAAGGCAGAATGATCATAATCAGAAACCGTGCCAAGAGCGAAAGTAGTTTTAAGTAACAGCACAGAAAAATAAATACCACCCAGGGCTCTTAGTGTCAGAGCGGGAGACAAACAAAATCCCAATTGTCTAAAGGACTTAATCTTTATTTCTAGAAAACATTGCCCAGCCCTGAGCACTCCGTTCCCGTCTCCTGGTCTGTGTCCTTAATCTCCTCTACCTCTCACACCCTGTCGTTGCCTAGTTGCACATCTAAATTTCCATGAAACCTGTTTAAAATCCATGTTCAGATTATTTTTTCCAACTTGAACAATTTGGAGAGAGAGATCAGAGCAGGGGGTGCAGGGGTCACTACTGGGTGTTCCTGACGCCCAGCGCTTCCTGAAGACCAGGGCTGGCACGTGGCTGGCCATCCTTTGTTGTTTAAGAGAGAGTCAGTATGAAATGAGGGCCTCTGCTTTTCTCTGTTTGCATCATGAGTTGTGTATTCCCAGTTTGCATAGTGAAATAAGATATACTGAATGCTCATGAAAATGTCTAAGCTTTGCAGTTAAACATTAACTAGAAATTATATATTTTTCACCTTGATTAAGTAATATATAAGTATTGGACTCCCGTGAAGCTGCTATTACATGTGGAATGTCTTCAGGAATCATTTCTTTCTTTTTGAGATGGAGGGAGACAGCATAAGCCTCACTAGGCAGCTAATACAAGGGTAACTATCTTTACTGTTTCCCAGCGTGTCCAGACTGATCTTCGTGAGACACATGGGTGGCATCCTTGCAGTGGCCAACATCAGAGGGGGTGGTGAATACGGAGAGACCTGGCATAAAGGTGAGGTGTGTTCTGTGCAGACTCCCCAGTGTGTCATTGTCAGAGTTATGTTGGAATGAGCTGAGGGGCTTAGGAGCAGAAAAGCATTTTGGCTAAAATGAAAAACAAGGATAGTTTCAAACACACTGCTGGCACCACTGCCCCTTTAAAAACAAGTCCTTTCACATCTTATGTTGCGCTGTAGTCTATTTATTTTAATGAAGTACATATTTTTCAGAAGCATTCCCTCAAGACCATAATCAAAAGTGTTTTATAGCAATGCATGGGGTATATTTTTATCTATCACTGTCAGAAGTGAGTCTGCAGGGGACTTTGGGTATTTATTCTGTCTCCTGTGAGCCTGGCTTATACTGTTTAGCATCACCACTTGGCTGTCTGTTGCTCTTAAAAGAGCAACCTAAAGTAGAGCTGTCCTCTTCCCAGCATGGGCACACTTCTACCTGGCTGAGAAGTCGTGTCCCCAGCGTGTGACTCTGTCACATGCAGGTTGTAGGCACAGAGCTCAAGTCGTTTTTCACTTCTGGTTTTAAGGATTTAGGTTCCCGCCTCTGAAGCCTGTAGTCTAGTTGCCTGAGGATATTGGTTTCATACTCAGCTTTTTTCCCCAGATTATCACAACTTTTTTAAGTAGTGATAATCTTTATTTGTAAAGCCCTTTCTCTTCCTTTTCTTTACATATGGAGCACATGGCCCCCTCCCAGGATTTCGGGTATCTGGGATTCACGGGCTAACCAATAGTCTAAAGATGTTGTCCTTCACGTGCCTTATTCCTGGGTCCTTGGGGACGAGGATGGGGGAAAGTACCTTCGCTCCCCCCAGCTCTGAGCTTCTCCCCAGGTGAGGGGGTCTTCTCTTCTCATCCTTCAGATCTGTACATCCACTTTCTTCTCTGCCTTCCCGAACTTGAGGCCAAAGGTTCTGGCTTTGCAGCAAATCAAATCCACAAAGATGAGGGTAGATCTGGAAAGAGATTTTCCTAAGTACCCGTCAGGTATCAAGATACAGAAAAGGCCAGGCCTGACCCTTCACATCCAGCATGCGCCCCAGAGGCTGATGCCAGACAGCAAATCATTTGAGCGTCCGAGTAAGAGTGAGTGTGTTCCTGATGGATGCGGGCGGCAGGCCCGCCTGCCGTTGTTAGATTGATGGCTACCAAGTGTCAGCCCCAAGGATTATCAATTATCGTTATATTTGAAACAGCATAGAATTCATTGTGTAGAGTTTACATGCACATAACCTGCATGGACTGCTGGTCTTGTGACCTCTCCTCAAAGAACCCAGATTCTTTTCCATAAATGCCCTCTGTCATCAGGTGCCTACCATGCTCGGATACGAAAGGGCCCTTAGACCTGGTCACCTCTCTCCTCTATGTATTAATTAGAACCAACTTAATGTCCAAAAGCCTAGAAGGAAGGGGAGTTTGGAGCTCGACTGAGGCTAAACGTAGTCTGTGTACTGATTCGTAAACTTTCTCCAAATTTAGGCAGTGAAAGGGTCAAAAATGGACCTTTTATAGTTAGGCCCTGGTATACTGAACATTGACAAATCTAAATTCCATTTTGTTAATGAGTTTAAAATTTAATGTTCTTTAAAAATAGAGTCGTATACCCAAAATGATATTATTCCTGGAAACTAAGTAATCTTAGCTGTTCTAATTCACCAATAATTTCATATTAAAATTTTAATGACATTTGTTTTGATATGACAAAATTTCTTCAGTAGCACTGCGTCATCTTTAATTGAATTTCTGCAGAAGTGGTTCATCTCCGATATCTCATTAGATCTGTGTCTGCTTTTTGTTCATGTCCTAGGCAGTTATTTCAGACATCCGTTCCTTTGAGGGCTTGCCTTTGACTTCTGGCCTTTGGTCCAAGACCTTACGAATGTTCCTCTCTTTAAGTTTTATACATTGGAATGACTTCTAGATGCCAAAGCCCAGGTTCTCTGGAGAGACGTGTGGGATCTTCATTCAAGAACTGGGAGACCACACTGGGCTGCTTCTCTGCTCACCACCACCACCACCCCACCCAATTCCTACTTAGGCTCTTTGAATTGGGGGGCTTATTTCTCACTGTCACTCTCCCATTTCAAACCCCCCGCATAGAGGAGGGGTGAGCATTATGCCTCTGAAGAGGCCTTTCATCTGCTGAGACAGGGAGGGCACAGCCCAGGGCTCTGCGCTGCGTGGAGCTGCTCCGGACCTTGTATCAGTTCTAGCTTCCGCCTCTCCAGAAATCAGGTCCTTTTTGATTACGGGCTTTCCCACTTCCATTCTCATGGTTCCCTGACGTAACAGGTCATGTCTTCTCTTGCGGGTATTTGCCTTTTAAGTTCTAGGAGTTTTCAGAAAAACAGATCCACCCTATGGATTGGCAGTGGTGGTATTAATGTTGGATTCCCAGAATGCGTAACAAATTCCAAACTGAGGCATTTTTCTAACACAGTGTCAGCCTGTTGTGTTTAAGCCGCTTAAGTTAGCTGACCAATAGTTGCAACTATGCCCCATCCTCATTTGAATTCTCTTTAGGTTTTGAAACTGTTTGGGTATTTCCCTTAATGTTTTGTTTTTTTGTTCACAAACTTTCTTTCACTTTCGGCGTGTTGTAGGTGGTATCTTGGACAAAAAACAAAACTGCTTTGATGACTTCCAGCATGCTGCCGAGTATCTCATCAAGGAGGGTTACACGTCTCCCAAAAGGCTGACTATCAATGGAGGCTCAAATGGAGGCCTCTTAGTGGGTGAGAACTGGACTTTTCTCATTGCGCTTGCTAGGTCACAGTCTCGGGGTTTTCACATACTCGGTGGTGGGCAGTGTTCAGTTTACCTTGACTCATGGGTAGGAGCAGTGATACAGAGCAAAACCCACTTGTATCTGGGCATCTGATACTTGACCTATAAAGACCCTGCTGAACACACGTTATACAGGCTTGACTTATGATAACCCGAAAAGCTGCCCCAGCTCCCCCTGTCTGAGCTCTTCTGGCCCGGACTGCAGTTCTCTCCATGAACCGGAGCCCCAGGTTCCTAGGGTTCCCCTGGCACAGGACGGAGCCTGCTGACCCGTTTGAGGCACACAGGATCATAAGACGGGATCATCCCTGAACATTTCTTGAATGCCTTTGCCACGTGATGCCGCCTGCTGTGGGTGCACAGATGAGTTGGGAAGGAAGGCAGGTCCGTGTAAAGAGGACACACAGCGGAGCAGCAGGGCACCTTGCGTGTCGGGCCCAGTGCAGAGCCCTTGACACGCACACAGCCTGTGCGGTGGGCACGTCTCAGGGAGAGGATGTCCCTTGGCACACATCCGGATGACGGTGACACTGGGGATGGAGCCGAGCGCCACGCTTTGCGGGGCTGCTCTTTTAACCTGTGTGGCACTGCCTCTAAGGAGCTTGCCTTCTGTTCCGTAATTAGTGAAATGTTTCTGTGCATTTTCTCTCTCCAGAGCACTTAACATTGAAGTGAACCTTTATGGTGGGACTGAACATAGCTTGCTGGGTCATTAGAATATGAGGGACAATTGTACAGATGTCCAGGGGCACATATAGGCTCAACTTCAAGTACATGTGTGAAAATCCAGTTTTGGAGGGAGGTGGTCAGGGGGGCAGCACATTCGCTCAGTTTTCTGGCCTTTGAAATATACTGAGTCATGTCAAAGTCTGAATTCCTGTCCTTCCTCTGTACCTCAATAGAATACAATCTTGAAGAAAACATTTTCCTAGGAAAGAGGTAAAATCTCTGCAGCCAAAATAATTTGTGTAAATTTAGAAAGGGTAGTGACAAGATTCTTACCAACAGAATGGACAATACCTCTCCCTTTCTGGTGGGACGAGGCAGACAGCATGCCAGGCCCAGGATGTCATAGCCAGTCTGGGTGGCCTTGTTGACTCTTGGAAATGAGAAGCCTTTATAGGAGTTTCCAGCGGAGAAGTGTCATAATTTGACTTTGTTCTTTTTAAAACAGGGTCATGTATTGCTTATGCCTTGTTAGGGTAGATGAAGTCGGGGAGGAGGCTTCTGTCCCAGTGTGAGACACAGTGGTGGCTCGGGCCTGCGGTGGGGCAGTGGGCGTGGTGAGAAGTGGTCAGATTCGAGGTATGTTTGAATTTGACCCGGCTGAATTTGTATCGGGGTCTATCCAAAGTATAAAAGGAGGAGGTCTAGGATGGATCTAAGCTTTAATGTCAAAGGCTGTTGAAAATCCTGTTTCCAATGGTTTGTTATTTACTGGCTTATCTAACAACTCCTTTATATTTCTGGAGTTTTATAGTCAGGAGTTGGTTTGTGTCTGTTAACAGAACTGGCCCCTTTAGGAACGTGCATAGATGAAGTGCCCCAGCAAGATGCCGGATCCTATTTGAGAGGACAGAGTCCCACCGCTCAGCATCTCCAAGGGAAGGATGCATATTATGAGTGAACCCTGAAGCCGGCAGGGAGGTGGGAACACCTTTTTTAGTGACAGTCTGGACTCTGGGTCACGCCAGCTCTGAGCTGACGTCTCCTGCCTTCCTCGCACGGGGGCGGCCCCCTGCCCCACTAACGTGGCCCCTGAGCTTCCTCAGCAGCGGCTGCCAACCTGTAATTCCTTGTTTACTTCATCTTTCCCACCAAATATTCACTGATACATTCCCAGGCCAGGCACTTGGTCAATATTTGTTCAATTATCAAAGAAAAAGACTTAAATATACAAAAAAGAGGATTCTTAAAACAGAACAAGGTGTACCAGTATTGGTTAGAGGCTTGAACTGGGTTTCAAGCGCCTGAAGCTGTCTGAACTGTGTCCGCTCACCCCACTCTGTCACCAGATGGGTAGGGGGTTCAGCCCCACACCAACCAGCCAGCCTGCAATTTAGCCGCACCACCCCGAGTTCACGCAGACCCCACAGAGTAAGGGGCGCCTCGCATGGACTTCCCCCACCCCAGCAGGTCCTGGGCCTTCCATCCTTCTGATAGATCAGCTCTAAATTGGGGGTCCCCATGACCCCCTCCATGGGTTTGATAGCGTGTGGGAACAGCTCATAGAACTCAGGAAGCCGGATGGAAGAGCTGCCTGGGGCCGGGCTTGGGGAGGGGTGCGTGCAGAATTTCCACGCTCTCTCTGGGCACGCCACTCTTTGGGTACCTTAGTGTGTTCACCAACCTGGTAGCTCTCTGAAATCTGTTGTTTAGGAGTTTTTATGGAGGGTCTGTTATGTGGGCATGATCAAACCAATCACTGATGGCCGAGGATTTAACCAAACTCCAGCCCTCTCCCCCTACCAGAGGCCAGGAGAGGGGCTGTCAGTTCCAACCGTCTGAGCCCGAGGCTGGTCCCTCTGGCAGCCAGCCCCAGGCGGAAGCTTGCTAGGGGCCCACCAGGGCCACCCCACCACACAGACTCAGGTGTGGCTGAAAGGGGCTAATGAGGATGAAAGACACTCCTCTCCCCCATCACTCAGGAATCTCTAAGGGTTTTAGGAGCTCTGTGCCAGGAACTGGGACAAACACCAAGTGTATATTTCTTATCATATCACAGGCTAGTTTTGAGAACCTGAACACGGTCCTGACCACCCACCACCACCACCACCACCACCATCATCACCTGTGGAAGCAAGTAGGGAAGAGACGAAGGGACACACAGGTTTTTCAGAAAGTCCTAGGGTGTTTCAAATAACACTCCCCCACTGTGGTCTAATCCTGACTGGAACACCCCACCCTTCGGATACATTGGAAGGAGAAGGGCTTGTGGGCCATTAGACAGGCGGCTTACCATGGCTTCCTCCTGTGCTCTGAGAAAACAAGGCAGCCAGGGTTCTGAAAGCATTTAAATAAAAACAACACCACACTGAAATGTGCAATAATGGACTTGCCTCCCTTTTCTTTCTACCTTGGCTTTTAGCTGCATGTGCAAATCAGCGTCCTGACCTCTTTGGCTGTGTTATTGCCCAAGTCGGAGTGATGGACATGCTGAAGTTCCACAGATACACCATCGGTCACGCCTGGACCACAGATTATGGGTGCTCAGACAACAAACAACATTTTGAATGGCTCATCAAGTAAGGGTTTCATTCATACTGACCTATGTATGTTACTAATAATTTATATGGTAATATTGCTATGGTAACACAGTCAAAAGACTGTTTGGCTCTTTATCCCCTTCAGTGTCTCACATTTGCATAATTTACTGCAAAAGTAGGGAAGTGGTGGGAATACCTATCTTCCTCATTTTGAGCTGATCTTTAACGAACTACAAAGATGTGGTCAGCAGAGTTCTAAAGCGGCCCCTCAATTCCTGTCCCCTCACTCTTCAGACACCAAGTACTGCTGTGGGGGGACTTTGCAGATTAAAGTTACTGATCAACTGACCTTGAGATTATCGTGGATTACCTGAGGGGCCCCAGTCTAATGACCGGAGGCCTTAAGGGCAGAGCCCTTTCTCTGGCTGATGTCAGGAATTAGGGATATGAGGAGGATTCACCCACCATTGCTGGCTTTGAAGATGGAGGAGGAGGCCTCTAGAATCTTGAGAACAAACCCCCGCCAACAGCCCCCAAAGAAATGGGGACAGCTGTCCCACAGCCACATGAAACTGAACTCTGCCAACAAGCTCAATGAGTCTGGAAATGGGTTTTTTCCCAGAATTTTCCAGTAAGAGCCCAGCCAGCCAACACCTTGATTTTGTGTTAAGAGACAGCGCCAAGTACCCAGCCAAGCCAACCCAGACTTGCAGAGCTGTGAACAGGAAATCTGTGTTGTTTTTAAAAGCCGCTTAATGTGTAGTACTTGGTGACGGCAGCAATCAAAACCTGACAGGTGTCATTCGCCGTACAGCAATAAAAACGGAATTTCCTTTTCTAAATTAAGAAATAAGAAAATAAAGAGGAATATGGCAAGTGCACCCCAGCTTGTTTTATTCTCTCAGTACAACCACGTGTATTTGAAGCCACAGTGGCATTATTGAAATATTGTACGGTGTCCCTCATTCATATCCCTCAGCTGTTTTGGCAATAAGGTGGCAGACATGTAGATTCTTGGGACTAAGAGCTTCATTTTTTTTTTTTGACTTTTCACTCTCTACTTCCCACATTTACGAATTTTTTATCAGCAGTATTTAAAACTGCCCTTATGATAGGACAAGAAGCCCGTGTCCCCTATCCCATTCTTCTCAGTCAAATAAAAATATAGATAGAATAACTTTTAACTTCCCAAGTCTTCTATTTCATTTTATATGCTTTTATGGGTAATTATCCACTTAGAAATTTAGCTATAATGACTGAATTTTTTTAACTGAATACTTTTAAACTAAATTCTGTTCAGGGTAGGTGGGGTACCTTTAAATGTACAGCCTCGTTGATACATACCAGTAAAAGCGGATTCTTTGAAGTAGCAATAGTTCAAATGAGAGGAAATATGCACTTAGGGATAACTCAATTGAAAATACTGAGTTATTTGTTCATAAAAGGCAAAATATCCAGTGGAACCTAATGTTTCTATGGTTAATTTGAAAACAAGAAAAAAGATGTCTTGAGAGAAAAATATTTGGAACTGAAGCAGGCTTTAGTTTTCCAACCCAGCACTCACAGGGCTGTATTTTCCTGTCACTTTTGCTCCCAAATGGGCAGGGGGCTGCCCAAGCCCTGGATGCCCCGAGTATGTCCCGTGAAGCATCATTGGGGACCCTAAGGGGGTCCCCCCAGAAAAGACCTGGATTTTGATTTTCAAGTTTGGGCATGGAGGGATAAATGAAGCCTAACAGATTTTTTTTCTACAGAACTTCTCAGGATGTTTATAAAAGTGGCATATATGTGAATCTCAGTGTATTAGTGTCACAGAGTTTTCCACACTTGTTTCCACATAGAACTAACCCTTCTTTGGAGGGCTGGGGTTGATCTGAAATGAGACGAGAAAACAGATCCATTGCCACCCCATCTTATCTATTGGGAAACTAAAACCCAGAGTGTTTGAGCCTGGACTTTTTAACTGAGCAGAAATTTTACTGTTTTCGACTTTTTAATGATTCAAAATAAAACTACAAAATAGTTGATTATAATCATTAATACTGGACACTTCAAAAGCATGACACCCATGTTGAGTAAAATATAAAGAAAAAATATCCAGAGATTACCATCAATCACTGTTTAATTCAATTATACTTTTATGTCTTCTTAAAACCCTTTTTGCTAACTGACCTGGAAGCTCACCTGGTACATCTGAAGGGCCGCCTCTGCTCCTGGCGTTCTTACCATCACCCAAAGGCAGTTTCTTTCTGCTGGACAAGTAGCGGCCAGCGGCCCCGCCAAGGTTCCCGGTTGACAGACAGGAGACCAGTCCCAGAGAAGACCCATGTTCTTTCTAAAATGGCCAAGCTGAACCTGGAGTCAAGGTTTTATAGTTATTAAGGGGGCAAAAAAGATGCTATGCACTGTGGGTTTTAAGTTCTTCAGCAAAAGAAAGGCTTGCACCTGTTATGTCCACAGTCACTGGTTTAAAAAGACGAGTCCACTTTGTAGCAGTGACAAGTAAGTCTAAAGAATATGCAAATACTCAAGGCAGTAAACGTGTATATAAGTTGGGTTATTTCAATAGCCCTATGAGTTTCTTTCCTACACAGTGTTCCAAAGCGGGGGCCACAGAAACAGCTCCCCACCCCATAGCGTGGCCGGGCAGGGCCTGAGTGACCTGCGGGCATTGTCTGCAGCGGCCACCCGCGTACTGACTGGCTGCGGTCCTCCCTGCTAATGAGGTCAGGCTGGTGACTCCGCAGGTCCTTCGTGGCCATCCCAGTGAGCAAGCAGCCCTGCTTCGGGCCTCATGGAAGTGTCTTTGTCTTTCAGATACTCCCCACTGCATAACGTGAAGTTACCAGAGGCAGACGACATCCAGTACCCGTCCATGCTTCTCCTCACCGCGGACCATGATGACCGGGTGGTCCCCCTCCACTCCCTCAAGTTCATTGCCACCCTTCAGTACATTGTGGGCCACAGCCAGAAGCAAAGCAACCCCCTGCTTATCCATGTGGACACCAAGGCCGGCCACGGGGCCGGGAAGCCCACAGCCAAGGTGATAGAAGAAGTCTCAGATATGTTTGCATTCATTGCACGGTGCCTGAACATCGACTGGATTCAGTAAATAGATCGCCCACTACCCCCCTGACAGCCACAGAAACCTCAAGGGCTTCCCCACCGTCAAAACAGAGAAACCACTGGGTATAACGCTTCCCAAACGAACACCGATCCTGCCCTCGCGGGCTGCAGTTGAACAGAACTGCTGCGCCGATTTTATCTTTTTTAGGCTTCTTTTTAGCAAGCCCTTGGTGTTCCTTTTCCATCCTGTGCAGGCACATATTTAAAAAAAAAAAAAGGCATGTTTGGATAAATAGCTGAATGGCAGCCAACACATTGTGAATATTAGATTGCGGGTTTAAGAGTCATAGGCATACAGAGCAACTCAATGAAATTTGCTTCTATAACCTCACCAATATATCTTTAAACAAATATGAGAACTGTTCTCGTGAAAAAGACCTCTTTGCAACATGAAATAAATGCTATTTAAGAACGGGAGGCTTTATTTCCGGTTCTTTTGTGTTGAGGGGCAACTCCAGATGTGTGGTCCTGTCCAGATCATGTGACTTTTCCGTGGGAAGAGCAATTCACCTGTCCGCACAAGTTCATTTCCAAACAGTGACGTCGAGAATGTCAGCTCTGGAAAGAAATTGAGTGTGCCCATTCCGGCTCTGTTGTTTAGGGTGACGAAGCTATTGGAAGTGGCTCAGTGTCTCACATATTACCCACTCAGCTGATAATCTGATCTGGGCTCTGTTGTTTGGAGGCCTACTTTTGAAAATCAGTAGACCAGACACTTCAGATTACTCACCTATTTGTCTGTCAATTTGGTTACAAAATACTCCTGGACATCAGAGAGCCTAGGATAGAAAACTAAGGCCACATGAGTGAACTACCCAAACAGATACATTTATCCAAACTTATCTTACCCTCAGAAATTTCAGCATGTCCCAGACTGTGTCTCCTCCATAGACCACTTCCTGGAAATAGAAAAAGACTTTTCAAAAACACTTTTATTGTCCCCCAACTCCAGATCTTTCGGAGGAGGCTATGCCATTCCAAAAACTATTGCTCATGAAAAAAAAAAAAGTTAAGGCATTTGTTTTAACATCTCATGAAACACTGGTCCCTGGGCATCAGTTTGGGAAATGCTAATCGAATTCATGAGAAAAAAGTTTCTTTTTTGTCTTGTTTTGTCAGATTTCATGAAAATATTACTATTTTATGTGAAATATCTTAACCTTAAAAAAGAGCTTGAAATATTACTTCATTATTTCAATAACTTGCACTTTTTCAGGTAAGTCCTATTTTCCAAATCATACCCATTTGTGCTTTTCTATAGAGCTCTACCTCTCAAATTGTGGTCTAAAATCAGACACTCTTTTTTGTCAAGTGTATCTCCACATACCAAGCATAGCTGAAAGGTGGTCACGTTGTTTGGTTTTTCGCTTCTAGAATCATGTTTCCTAACACTGTTGTTTTAAATAAGCATTGTGTAAAATGCAGCTATCATTGAACTTGGGATTCCCTAGAACCCCCCACACCGGAGAAAAAGTGTGCCACTAGCTGGCAGGGCATGCAAAGGCTGGCACGATCGCTGCTTACCTGGAGAGATGCTGACACTAGCTAACTGCCACAGAACTGCTGACCACCATGGCAGAAAAATAAAGCACATTTGTGGAGATAGACCAAAGGCAGCTGTTTTTGCTAGACCAACTGGGTCTCTGATGTGCAGACAAATGAGTTGTACCGTCTGAGTGCATAGCCTTTTCAGGCTTGCACAGAATCCAGGCATACTTTCCCACTGAGGTCTCCCACTGAGCAGCAGAAAGTGAAAATACAGTGTGTAGGGTCTCAGCTTCAGAAGCCAGTCAGGCCCAAGTTCAAATAACAGGTCTGTCATTTAGTAGCTGGTGATGATGAGGAATAAACAAAGTAGTATGCTTACCATGCCCGGCACATAACTGCACATTCCCAGGCTAATTTTCTCACATCCAGACTTGAGCTGGACAGCTGAGCCCACAAACTAGGTAGCTTTTTTAAGTCTTAAATACTGGAAGTGAGATGAAGTCGGGCCCCTGCCCAGATCTCAGGGTGTCTTCCCTATTTGATGCCACCTTCCCTGCAGCCTGGGCTCTGCCCCTCTGCCCCATCCTATGTTGGTCTGTGGTGTTTTGGAAACAAAAATGGCAGATACAGAGAAAGGTGGTCTGATTGCCTCATCAGAAATCTGTTGTATACCTATATAATAATAACAAACTAGCAGAAAGGGAAATTAAGAGAACAACCCCATTTATAATTTCATCAAGAGGCATAAAATACGTAGGAATAAATTTAACCAAAGAGATGAAAGATCTGGACTCTGAAAACTATAAGACACTGATGAAAGAAATTAAAGATAACATAATCAGTAGAAAGAAATGCATGCTTATGGATTGGAAGAATATTGTTAAAATGTCTGTACTGTGCACAGCAATCTACAGATTCAATGCAATCTCTTGCAAAATTCCAATAGCATTTTTCACAGAACTAGAACAAAGAATCCCCAAATTTGTATGGAGCCACAGAAGACCCCAAAGAGTCAAAGCAATCCTGAAAAGGAAAAACAAAGCTGGAGGTATCATATTCCAGATTTCAAACTATATTACAAAACTTAATAATCAAAAGTATGGCACTAGCACTAAAATAAGCACACAGATAAATGGAACAGAATAGAGAACCCAGAAATAAAACCACACTTACATGGTCAGTTAATCTATGACAAAGGAGGCAAGAATATAAAATGTGGAAAAGATTCTATTTAATAAATGGTGCTGGGAAAATAGCTATGCAAAAAAGAATGAAACTGGACCACTCTCTCACACTATATGAAAAAACTTAAGATGTGTCAAAGTCCTAAATGTAAGACCTGAAACCATAAAACTCCTAAAAGGAAAGAAACAGACAGTAAATTCTTGGACATTGGAATCAACAGTATTTTTTTGGATCTCTCTTCTCAGATGGGGTAACAAAAGCAAAAATAAGGAATTGGGATGAAATCAAACTAAAAAGTTTCTTTGCACAGTGAAAAAATCATCAACAAAATGAAAAAGCAACCTACTGAACAGGATGTTTGCAAATGACACATTTGATAAGGGGTGATATCCAAAATATACAGAGAAGTCATATAACTCAATGTACACACACCCAACAAATAATCTGACCATAAAATGGGCAAAGGAACTGAACAGACATCTTTCAAAAGAACTACAGATGGTCAACAGACACATGAAAAGATTCTCAACATCACTAATCATTAGGGAAATTCAAATCAAAACAGTGAGATATCACCTCACACCAATCAGAATGCCTAGTACCAAAAAGACAAGAAACAACAAGTGCTGGTGAGGATGTGGAGAAAAGGCAACCCTCATGCCCTGTTGGTGGGAATGGAAACTGGTGCAGCCACTATGAAAACACAGTATGGAGGCTCCTCAAAAAATTAAAAATCGAAATACCATACAATCCTGTAACTCCACTTCTTGGTATTTACCCAAAGAAAACAAAAACACTAATTTGAAAAGATGTATGTATTCCTCTATTTATTGCAGCATTATTTACAATAGCCAAGATATGGAAGCAACCCGAATGTACATCAATAGATGAATGGATAAAGATGTGGTTTATCTATATGCTCTGCCCACTTCTCTTCAGCCTCACCATGTTTCATAATTTGCCTTCCTAAATCCAAGTCTCAGTTCCCTTGAAGTCTACCTGCTCACTGACCTGAGTGACCTTTAGAGAGCAAATGAGATCTGGTAACCTGCTGCTTTGAGCCTGCAGTAGCTTCCCGCACCCAGAGGCAGAGACGACGTGTGCCTCAAAGCCGGAATGGGCCCCTAGGAGGCGCTGGTGGTAACACGATCCCCAGAGTAGCTGGGCAAGTTATCTCCCAGCTACAAATCAGAATTAGGTGGGGAACACGCTAGAAATACAAACATACAGGGTCCTATTCACAGAGATTCTGCCTCAGGAAAGGAACCTGGGATCGGCACTGTCATAAGCTTCCAGGTGATTCTGATGTGGGGGGTGGGGTGGGTCAGCTGAAAAATCAACTATGAAAACACCAAAATGTTATTAGTTCTTAGGGGGACCTATGAGAAATTTTTCCTCCAGTTTCCAGATTTCTGTAATCCTACTGCAATCCTGCTGTAATTATTAGATGTACCTATATTTATTTAAAATTGCATTAAATAAAAAATCAGCTAAATGAGAAGTCCTGGCAGATTCTAACTTCTGCTGCATCTGCACATATTATAAGGATGTTTTAATTTTTCTTACTTAAAAAGATGGTAATTTTTTTTCCTAATGCTCATTAAATTTAACTCCCTAGTGGTGGGGATATAACCCTTTTGGGATCCTGATATGGCGTCTTAGTGTTTGTTTTAAAGATTCAGCCACTGCCAGTGTCCAGCAAAGGCATTTATCAAGCTCTGGTCCCCATATTTTAAAACCCAGGCTAGGCAGTGGCCTGGCTGTGGGGTGCAGGACACGCTACACATCAGGCTGGCACCCAAGACAAATACAGTCCATTCTGGTGCTAAATATGTCTTTTTAGTCATTCCCAATATTTTCAAATTGAAATAAAAACTAAGCAATTTCAAAACCCCAAGCAAGTAATTATTTATGTCAAGTTAATTATTATTTTATAGGGGTCAAGACATTTCAAAACCCTATGTCAACTTACAAAGGCCTTAGCATAATTCCCAACAGTAACCCTTGACTTCACTTGTAAGCAAAGTGCATACTACACCAATACAATTTAAGGTTCAAATTAAATATATAATGTAAATATTTCATCTCCCAACAGAATCAGAGAAGTGGCATTTAATCAGACTTTTTTACAGTCAACATTCTCCTCCCACTGGTCCTGCAGGGTTGCAGTTGAACTGAGCAGGGAAATGCTGGCAGAGAGAGAGGACATGGAGAGCCGAGAGGTGGCCCACACTGGCCTGCGATAGGCTGTCACCGCCCTGAGCTCCCCGGCTCTGGGTCCGACCACATGGCATGTGCCTCCTTCTTAGGCTGAGAGCTGACTCCTTCACCACTTGTTCGTTTGTTGGTTCTTGTGACAAGTTATATGTCTTTAACTCTGAAGAAAACTTTGGGGATATAAATTATGACAGATTCCTCATTAAGCAATGGAGCGTCTGTTTTGGTTAAGTAATGAGAATATAAATATTGAGATAAAGCTTTGCTGCAGACTCTGACCACATGCAAAACAAAGGGAAATGGAGAAGGTATGAACTAAACACACTTGAAAATTCAATATTCTGCTATGTTTAACTATTTCTTTTTGAGTTTGGAGTCTACCCTGTAAATAGAATAAGCTCTAAATGAGTGAGTAAAATCAACTGGGAGAACTAGTCAGATTTTCCCCAACAGCCACTTTTATCCTGTGTGGAATGTTTCATTTGGGATTACTACAGCATTTTTATTAAAAAGTAATTGAGTTATTACCATAATACCAGCCCATTTATTTGTTTGGATTGGGTATCCTGGCAGAATTCTGGGCATCTTTCAAAATTAAACAAGATATCTCAAAGTGGAGACTAGAAAACATAAAGAGCCTGGAGGGGCAGAGGAAGTGATGAGCGCAGGGCTGAACCATGGGGCAGAGGCTGCCCTGAGCCCTGAGCCTGCCGGCCCCTGGGCGGACTTGGGGAAGTTATTCCCAACTTCAGGAGCTGCGGATTCTTCAGCCACAAAATAAAATTACTATTTACCTCAAAGGGCTAATACGGAACACGTGGATTCAGTGAGTGGATGGCTTCCCTGACAGAGCGCCACCCTCCCGGCTGGTCTTTCTCTTACCCTCCCCGAGGGTCCAGTCCTCGGTCCAGAGCAAAGGTCTGCTCTGCGCCCAACACAGGTGACTGCTGAGCCTCCACAGGCCTGCCATCTCCCCGTGGAGGCTGGGCATTCTGTCCTCCCCCACCTG